AACGTCAGATTCAAGTTGAGAATTTCTCAGAATCAGGGGTTCCTGTCAGAATAGAACATAAGCAGATAAAAACTATCCAGAACAATCCTTATGGGTAAAACTGGTATGAAACTACTTATTTTTTTAGCCTGGGACCAGGCTCCCTAGTCGGGGGAAAAGGCAAAAAACGGGGTAAAACTGGAAAAAATATGGGGGGGGGGGGGGGGCGAAGCGGAGGCTGGTCCCAGGCTACTTATTATAACACTTGATCACGTGGTCCAAATTCAAGTTTCCCGTTTGCACGTTTCCCGTTCAAACGGCAAACGCGAATTTGTACCACTTGACCAAGTTCACCCATTACTTTTCGCGGTTTACTGTTCATTATTTCTACACGTAAATTAGTAGTTTCACACAATTTTTTATCCATAAGAATTGGTTTGAACTGTATTTATGTGCTCGTTTTCTATTTTGAGAAATTCTCAACTTGAATATGACGTTTGCCGTTTACCGTATACGTGAAGATTTTAAATAATCTCTTCATTGTCGTCTTTTACACTGCAGGTATTTCGAAATAACTTTTACATCACTGCAGTTCAATTAAAGTAGTGTGATATTGAAATTTGTCCTTCATACACCTTCTGTCCTTCGGTATGCCTGCCAAGCAAGTCAAGTGAGTAAGACAGTCAGAAAGACAGGAAAAACAAAGGCAAAACAAAATTAAATAAGCCTCCGGGCTTTTAAAGGCTTTAAGGGCCTTTTTGAGGGGCCTTTTCGGAAAGGCTCATTTTCGAAATTCTTCGTCCCTCTCTCTTTTTTATTTTGTGGTTCTTGCCTGAAGCGTGGTGGGCGATCTCCTCAATCTTTGTCGCTAACGACCTTGCCTTTGATCAGGAGTTTGACAGGATGATAGTGCTGTCCAACTTTTAACAATCGGTCCTCTCCCTGTTAGGCAATTAATCATTCTAAGCAGAAGCCTATGACCTCTGACCTATGGGCTCCTGTTCTAAGCAATTACTTAAGGAACACCTATCAAAAGAAGCTTTTTATCGATGCACTTAATAGTTTTGTTCTTTGGATGTCCGGATTGTATTATTATTATTATTATTATTATTGACAAGAAAAATACATGTA